GCTTTCCCTATTCAGCTTCCACTGTTTGGTTCCTTGCTGGGCTCTGGTCTGCTGCCAACTGGCTCTTCAAGAGTTGAGAACATATAAGCTGTTCATACTCTTCCCTCATGGTGATCCTGCTCTGCCGTCAATATACTCTGAATGAACAGTTCATAAAAACAAGGATTTCAGCCCTTCAATTCTCACCTACATTTGTAGAGCTGATCACCATTTATCAGCTGCAAAACACACTAGGACAGGGGTTTCAAACTTAAGGTGCTTAGATCTAGCCCGCAGGGCTGATCTGGAAAAAGTGAAGGACCGGCCTGCAGTGTGTCTGCCAGCAAAAACATAGCTCCATTTTTGCTGGCAGAGGGTTGCAGGAGGCCGTCGCAGCCAAAAACGGAGCTTGGAAGCCTGTTTTCGCTAGCAGAGCGCTTGGGCCACCACAGGCGCCCCCGACATGAGTGATGTCGAGCTGGCCACACCACCTCCCCCAAGGTCAAACGCAACCCTGATGCGGTCCTCAATGAAATAGCATTTGACACCCCTGCACTAGGAGGTCCACTCAGTTTACAGTATAATTAATACATGTGTTAAGTAGCACAAAGGCATCTGAATATAGATGTGTGTTACAAACTAGGCAGAGATAACAAGTATGTGCAGCAGTGCATGGAAAGAGGGAAGGAGGGAGAGAGAGAGAGATGCTGTGATTTGATACCTGAAACAAAGCCTTTTCAAGACTGTTTTCAAGTTTACTCTCCTGAGAATTTTAGCCTAGTGCTGAACTTAAGTGAGCTAATGAAATCCTGCACATGCTCATCTATATGAGAAGCACTGACACCATCATGAATAAATATTTTGTGATTCCATGGTGGTGACTGCTATGGGACTGTGACACCACAGCTTCTGGCAGGACATTTATATGCAGGCTTTGCAGCTAAAACTGGAATTGCACACTGCCCAGAAAATAGCTTATTAAATTTAACAAAAGGCTGGAGGAGGGGGAGAGAATGCTGCAGGTTTTGTAATGCAAAACAGTATTACAGGCACATAGGCAATCTTTCTGATGCACAGTAGGCGTCCAATACGTATGCAAAGATAAAATACCAAGGGGGCTCGGTAAACCAAATCGTGTATCGCTAGATGTACAAGCCATGAGATTTAATGGGAACCATATGAACAGGAAAAAGTTGCTGTAAGCCTAAAATAAAATTTATTTCCTATCAGCCATAAAGTGAAAATTCTAAGGGTTTTGTTGTTTTTTGGGGGAGCGGGGGAATCAGGTATTATAAGAAAAAAGGGAGCCATTTTAATCTGCAGTAATTCAAGTGAAATATTACACTCTTGTTGTCAACCCTGAAGCGAACCTGGCTGGGGCCATCTTTGAGGCTTTAAGGTTGCCACTAGATGGGATGGGGAGGGAAATAGTTAACTGAGGCTTTGCAATCAAAACAAAAGGTTTTCTTGTGGGAATCAAGGTCACTCCAACAGGTGGCTGGGAGAGGAGGAGCAGAGTAACCAAGCAACTGGCCAGCATTTCTATTGGACAATGTGACTGATGACTTGGAGAAAGGGGAAAAACTTTCTTTTAATTAGGTGAAAACCACGGGAACTTTCAGAGTCGGTTTTCACCAGTTGTGCCAATATAATGTATCCAATAAATTTGTTCTTTGAATAATCTACCTGCCTCAGAGTTCTGCTTTCTATGGGTGCATTACTTGAACCGCTGACACTTGTTTTTTGAAAGTAGAAAATAAAACCAATAGATATAGCTATTATATGACTAACAGGGGGTTGTTTACAAGGTTATCCAAGGCCTTTTTCACTCATAAAAATTGCATCAATTCTGGATCCCCATGATACCATTGGTCTTGGGGAAGTCTTAATGTGAACTTCCAGTTCAGGTACTACTCCAGAGGCAACCATTTAAAACTATATTCCAGTGTTTTGTCCAGAGCTATGGAATAGTGGATAGTTTCCCATGAATGGAATTCACCCTGATTTGCTTCATGTACCCGGCATTCTTATAGGCAAGGCTCTGTTCTCCTATCTTCTTTGCTGGTGGGTGTGAGGAGTTTTGCCCTTTCGTTTCCTTGTAGTAAGACAACAACAAAAGAGGGAGGTTTTTGCAGGCTCCATTAGCCAGCTAGAGAAAACAGAAGGGCATGTTGGCTAAACTCTCAACATCAACAGTGAGGGCATGAGTACAACTCCAAGGATCTGGAGATTTAAAATGTTATTGGTGTGGAAGTGTCCTACACATTTCAGTCTGGATTGTAGCCTGGATCCGAAAACAAGTTGCCCTTGGTTGCCATGAGGGATGCCCCCTTCCAAGCAAAAGGGAAAAGACAACCCTGTACATTCTATAGGATTTTTCAACAGTGTTCAATATGGTGCAACTTTTGTAGGGGGAATTTATTATTTATTTAATTCTGTTTCAGGGGGATTCCGACTTCGCAACCAGTTTGGAGAGTTTACAGTTAAAAGAGAATTTAGAACAGCATATAGCAAAGAAAGGAATATAACCACTAGAAGACCAACTCCATAATATGAAAAGACCAAAAGAAAATTCTAACCCTCCTAACCCAAGGCCTGAGAGAACAATCAGGTCTTTAACCATTTGCAAATATCTGTTAATCTAATCGAATTGAATCAAATATAATCAAATCTAATCATCTATTGAATGGGAGAAAAATAGATCTGGGGGGGGGCTATCACCGAGAAACCACATTTCCTGTCATTGCTTAATTCGACCTCCAGAAAGTAGCAATAGCGCTTAAGATGTATGTACCACTTCATAGAGTTTTACAGCCCTCTCTCAGTGGTTTACAGAGTCAGCATATTTCCCCCAACCATCTGGGTCCTCATTTTACTGACTTTGGAAGGATGGAAGACTGAGTCAATCTTGAGCCGGTCAGGACTGAACTCTTGGCAGTGGGCAGAGTCAGCCTGCAATACTACATTCCAACCACTGCACCACCACAATACTAATTGTAGAGAACAAGCAGCTGCTTCTCCCTGTGCAATTTTTAACAGTTTAATAGTTCCTTCAGCCAGGAAATGTGGTTCTACAGATGGCCTAGCACCATGCCATTTTATAGATCAACACCAGCACTTTAAACTTCATCCAAAAGCTACTGGCAACCAATGTAGAGCTTACATTACACCTTAGAGATATCATGCTCCTAGCGATAACTGCTGGCGAGTATCTGGTTTGCTGTATTCTGTACCAGTTGAAACCTCAGATGGCTATTAAAGGCAGCCCCATGTGAAGAGCACTGCAGTAATCAAGATAGATGGCAATGAAAGCATGAGTTACTATCACAAGATCTTCTCATTCAAGAAAAAGCATAGGTGACACACCAAGTGAAGCTGGGCGAAGTACTACTACTTTAGTAGTACACTTTGTAGAATGTCTTCCCAGAAAGACTTGCCCGATAGTGTGATTACCATAATTTAGACATCAAGCATAACACCTCCACAGTGGCTCAGATTTTTCAGATCTGCAAGTTTTTGAAAAACATTATATAATGAAATAAGAACTGCTTTCTTTGTTACTTATTAGGATTTGATTTTTTTTTAAATGTTCTTTTAGAACCTTTATTGCGTCTGACTAGTTGGATAGCTGCACTGGAAATTTAAATTTATGCTGAAAGTGCATATATAAATTATGTAAATAACTTCACTTTCTACTCAAATGGAAATCTCAAGAAATACAGTACATTCTGCTGAATACAGTAAGTCAGAAAAGTAGGTGCAAGATTGCACCGCTTTCGTGCCACATGCTGTGCAGAAGAACAGCGTGATCTTCAAATAAATAGGCCTGGTACTGTACCACTTTCAAGAGCAAAGATAAAAAAATATTTTAAAATTGTATATGTACACACCCCTTTCGTTCATCATAGTAAAGATATCCCTGGTCGCAGGCTGAAATAAAATCAATATCTTTTCTTTCTCTTAATACAGCCAATTTTTATTTGGTTTATATGCACACCTTTTCCCTTCCCCGAATAAAAGAACGTAAAGCAAAAGATTTTTGATGAGAAGGCTTTGACATCAGCAATCAATATTATCAAGCTTAGATTTAACTGTAAATCCTTCATATCTGTATCTATCTGAATTGAATGTGAAAAATTATAGTTGATGCCACTGCATTTCCCATTGCTTTTCCAGAAGCAAGCAGCCAAGGGAATAAAATAGCTAACTGGGCCCCATTGCTTGAAAGACTCTGGCAAATTGATATAGAGCTTAAATATCCCCCAATTCCTTCTATTGAGTCCTCCTCCTTTGCCATCAGCAAGTTATTTGGGAAGCTAAAATAGGGGCCTGAGAGAACATTTCAAGGAACAGAATCAGTAAGCATGAATATTCCCCTGCCAACCTTCTACACAAATTCCCATTTCCTCAAATCATTTGTCTGGAAGAGTCTTTCCTGGACAGATTCTTTTTTTTTTTTTAAAGAAAGAAATCAATGGGCAGAGTCTTCCTGTTTATTGCCAGTTCTTCTCTCCAAGCCACCGATTTATTTTTATTAAACAAGGTTGTATAGCCGCCCAACTCACACCATGACTCTTGTGACTTATTATCTCATCCAAAACATGGTTGAGATCAGGCACGTAACAACCTATCTTTTAAGCACCTCTTAACTGGCTAGCTCATAGCAACATGGACCTGAACTCTCAGCATTCAGAAATGGTAGGATTTTATATACGGGCCTATGTATTGTATAAGCCATCTTTATAAGCCCCTCTTAGTCTTTTGAAAGGTGGTGAAACCTGGCTCCTCCATACAGGTTTCGCAGGAGGGCAGAAGTGAGCCCAGCAAATGTAAAAGCATGGGGAGTCTATGTGATGTTAGGTACTGCATTTGGGATACGCGATGTCGTCATGGGGTTGGGTAAGTTTTATTCATTCTGCTTTTATTTAATGTTACTGAAAACCATCGAGGATTATCTTGCTTAAAATAGGCGGCCATATGAATATAAATAAATAAATAAAATGATGGCATAAAAAGTTTACCTGTCCATTTCAGAACTCAAATAACACAGCAAATGAATGGCCCATAGCAGAGGCCCCGAGTATGTTGCAAGTGCAGTAAGAAAAATGGCAGGAATTTCTACATAGTCGGTTAGTCCAACAAAGCCAGCTGAAACATCCACAGAAGCAATGCCGTTTGAATTACCCTGGAAAAGATAAGGGAGACAGTGAACAAAAGAGAAATCAATCAATATACTATAGAGTTCAACAGCCCAATACGGTAAAAGCATCTACAATCATTTATGGGAAGGGAAAAGGACAGGAAAATGGAAGTGGGGGAACTCAATCAGGCCGTAATTCCAATAAAACCTTCAACCACTGGGCTCTATTTTTTTAATTTATATAGTTACTTTCTTTAACTCTCTGACCTCCAGAGACCTCTGTTAACAAAGATTGCTTGGGAGGTGGGGGTGTAGGAATTAAAATAGGCAAAAGACTTATTTCTATTAGTTTATATACAATGAAAGGCAAAATCCAATAGAACTGTTAAAAAAGCAAATGAAGAGTACAAGAATCAGACAATTAATACAATGAATAATAAAATAGGACTAAACAGGAAAAAGTCAACAAATAAACATTTCCAGTGTTCCAACAGAGCCTTCTTACAACATTCACAAGTGCACAAAATGGGCCAACTTTATATATTTATTTATTTATTTATTTTATTCAATTTATATCCCGCCCTTCTCCTAGTGGACTCAGGGCGGTGCACAGCCAGAACTAAAGATAGATACCGTATTTTTCGGTGTATAAGACGCACCTTTTTATACCCAAAAAGGGGGTGAAAATCTGGGTGTGTCTTATACGCTAAATATAGCCCGGCCACCCGCCGGCCCCCATCATTTGGCCATTTTCGGCCAGTTCCAGGCAGCAGGGATCTGGGTCGGGGCACAGCCTGAGGAACAACCCTCCCTCTTTGGGACGGTGGGGGGGGTGTGAGAATCTGCCCTGCAGCTTTGGGGAACAAGGCGGGTGCCACGATTTGCGGCTGGTCACCCCTCTGGCCGCACTGACTTCACTCCCCAGCAATGTGAGGAGCCGCCACCACCGCTGCCTAAGCCCTCTCTGCGCCCAGGAGCCAAGCTGAGCTGAATGGGAGCCCTGATCTGTCCCCGTCTACACACACACACAAACACAGCCAGCCAAGGGTTAAGAAAGTACTTGGCACGCACACAGGTCGTTATCTCAAACTTGGCAACAATATAAGCACCGTCTGCCAAGAGCTTTACTGCAACAGATAACATAAAATTACATACGCATTGCAAATAGTCCAGCAGAAACAATATCCCTTCGGCAGCTTCAGACGTTGTTCAAGTGTCTAGCCAGAGTTAGTTTTTGTTCGTCACGGAGTTTTACCAGCCACCACCCTCTTATAGTCTCTGGGGTGTGGTCCAGTGACTCAGTTCTAATCCCTAGCACGCCTCCTTAACTGCTGCAACCGTTTATCACACCTTTGTTGGCGTGCATCCAGGAACGACGGCTCTCCTTCTTCGCTCTTATCAGAGACACCTGGCTCCTGGCTAATCTCCTCTCCCTCAGCCGGCACCTGAGACAGTGCCAGAGGGGAGGGGCCTGGAGAGGGAGGCCTGGCTGACTCCTCTCCCTCATGTTCGGAGCTTTCTTCCTCCGATGAGATAGGCTCAGAGGGCGGGGCCACAACAAGCCCCTAAAGGGAAACGTTCCTCCTTTCCAGCCATCGCTGCCCGGATTCTCCAATGCAAATCTCAAGAGTCGCGCTTCAGGTGTCGGGCAGTTCCCCTGCAATGTGCAGCGGGGAACTGGGAAGTGCTTTGGATTCGGGGAGGAGATTGTAGCGCTGCCGCCTGAAAGTGTTTTTCTGCATATTGCAGAGCCGCGCGCCCCCGTCCTCCTTCTCAGCAGACTCAACTTCTCTTTCCTCTTGGCCAGATCCGCCGCCTGAAACACAGTGCACTTTTTTTTGTCTCTGCACAACCCATGTTTGGAATCGGGAAGGGGATCACGGGTTCGGGCGGCAGATCCGCAATCCCCTTCCCAATTCAGGCAGCAGGGCTACAATCTCCTCCCCAAATCCAAAGCACTTCCCAGTTCCCCGCTGCACATTGCAGGGGAACTGGCCGCCACCTGAAGCACAACTCTTGAGATTTGCATTGGGGAATCCGGGCAGCGATGGCTGGAAAGGAGGAACATTTCCCTTTAGGGGCTCTTATTCAGCTCGGCTTGGCTCCTGGGCACAGAGAGGGCTTAGGCAGCGGCGGCAGCGGCTCCTCACATTGCTGGGGAGTGAAATCAGCGCGGCCAGAGGGGTGACCAGCCGCAAATCGTGGCACCCGCCTTATTCCCCGAAGCTGCAGGGCAGATCCCCGACCCCAGACCATCCCGAAGAAGTTTGTTCCTCAGGCTGTGCTCTGTTCCTCCCCCCAGAGCATGTGAGGGGTCTCTTTGGGGGAAAGCGAGTAGTCCCTGCACCTCTCGCTTGCAGGAGGAGGAGGAGGGCAGCGCCACCTTAAATGCTGGTAGGCAGAGGTAAAATACTTTTTTCCTTGTTTTCCTCCCCCAAAATTAAGGTGTGTCTTATACTCCGGTGCGTCTTATACACCAAAAAATACGGTAGATTCCATAACAAAAAGAAAGCATTCAACTCTTCTGGATGAGCTAAAAAGTGAGCCAGCAAGAGACTTATTAATTCAGACTCAATGCAGAGGGTAGTATAGCAACATATACAGTATGCAGCACTTGTCTTAACTGTTTCATTGGGAGGTGCTGGGAACCTTCAAACCGAATATTATTAAATATTATCTCTAGAACCAAGGATGGCAGACAACTAGTCAGTGAGAAAGTTCTTTCATACGAGACAAAGAGGAAGTCATTAAAGTAGCTAGATGTTAAAACTGAACCGCTGGAGCCACCATTATAATAATAAGAAGTTTACTTTTTTATTCCTCTGGTCAATCCTTTATCTCTAAAGTGGCTCTCTCAAACCCCAGGATCACCAAGAACTGGGATTAGATATCACAACAATATAAGGCCACGATTGTGCCTTTCTTTTGAGATGAAACAATTTTATCATCTAGGATTATTTTCCTACTCAAAAGATTAATTTCACTCAGTACTTTAATTTGCAAACCTCATATGATCCCCAAAGGGGGGGGCGGGGGGGGAAGGTAGGTTCCAAAAGTGGAAGTGAATTTGATGCATTCTAGGGAATGCAAAGCATAATTGTTAAGATTTGGATTCAATTAGCTAAAGAGTCTTTGTATTACTGTTGATGTTAAGTACCGGACTGTAATCCTCAGGGTAAAAAACTCACTTCATAATCATGCATAATTTTACTGCAGCCAGAACAAAATTATTGCCACCAAGATATACATTAGAGCAAGGGTGTCAAACTCAAGGCCGGATTCGGCCCATGGGGTACTTAGATCTGGCCGGCGGGACTGCCCTGGAAACAGCGAAGGACCGGCCCACGGTGTCTCTGCCAGCGAAAATGGGCTCCCAATCTCTGTTTTCGGCTGGGATGGCCTCCTGCAACCCTCTGCCAGCACCCTCCCGAGCTCTGTTTTCGCTGGCAGAGGGTTGAGGAGGCCGTCCCAGCCGAAAAGAGAGATTGGGAGCCTGTTTTCACTGGCAAAGCACTCAGGTTATCACAGGCGCCTCTGATACGAGTGATATCAAGTTGGCCATGCCTACCCTGGCCACGCCCACCCCCGCTCCCCGAGGTTAAATACAACCCTCATGCGGCCCTCAATGAAATTGAGTTTGACATCTCTGCATTAGAGGGAGTTTGAGCTCAACAATTACATATTTTGTTTTGTTTCTTCCTAGCTATGATTACGGGGGGGGGGGGAGCCCCTATATTTTTAAAGTCCTTAACAATATCATTAGTACAGATGCCATTTATATGCTAATTGTGAGAGCAGGTAGCATACCTTTTATTAGAACCTTTGTTATTCCGATACTTGACCCTTTTTTTTTTTTTTTTTTTTGCTGCAAAATGCTGCCAGGACCATTCCTTCAAAGTGTTGCCCCTAGTCTCGAAAAAGTTGCCCACCCCAGAGTTATGGATTCAATAAACAACAGTTCGGAGGTATTAAGAGAATTTGGTTCCAAACTGATGTCATGTCTATCTCAACCTTCAACAATTATTCTCTTCATTTCTATTGCAACTGGCTCACAACATGAAAGATTATAGGTAAAGACACAACAGAGAATCTTAAGGATGATTGTGGAGCTGTTCATGCTTAGTACTACAGGATGGCAAAGGAAACTATGAAAATAACTCTTCAATCGTTAGCTCACTCTCTATGGAAAACCAGCCATCAACGAAGACAGAGAACAATATTAGATATCAATGTGGGTTTTTTTATTATTTTAAGGGAAGCAATTCTGTTTAGTATTAAATAAAAGCCAATGTATATTTTATGCATTTCATTTTATTTAAAGACTGGAAATGTTTAAATTGGAAGAAGGAAGTTTTAGTTCTCCATTTGATTTCGCAGAAAGGCTTGAGGGTAAATGATATATTGTTCAGATATTACATTTTAAATATTAAAGCTACACCATGCCAATTCCATTTCCAGGAACATATCAGCCTTCTACCCTATGAACTGAGGAACACGCACAAATCTTGTCTTCAGAAAAGATAAACTATCAGGAGGACAGGAGTAACTGCACAGAACCAGCTGTCACAGAAAATCGATCTCCTATAACCATCACTTGTATCTTCTATCAGAGTGGGCCTAAGTGGATGGATGCTTTCTTTAATGCATTATATATTTTTGAACATGCATTAGGGGGGGGAAAAAGCAGAACATTAATTTTTAACGAAGAAATGGTTCCGTATCAGTAGAAATAGAAAAATACAGTACATGACATTTTGGTAAAACAGCATTCTATTTTTCTTCCTGTTACTTTGAGAACTATATTCACAAATCACCCCCCCAAGGATCCGGCCTCTATGCTACCTGGATTGTATACACACATAGAAAAACACACATAGGGAGACTCACAGCTTGACAGGAAGATAGTACAAAACCTCCTTGAGGCTTTAAGAATCATGCACCCCTTTCTTTGCAAGATACCAGCTTAAGATAACAATCTGTGTCACATTTTTGTCTTCATGGAGGAAATAAAGTACAAGCCACAACACCTACAGCATAAACAGGGC